ACACACATATATACATATATATATATATATATATATATATATATATATATAAAAAGCAAAGTTATGAAATATTAATATATACTATAATAGTATGTAAATAAAGCTAAAGTAATACCATCATGAACGCCATGGAGACCTAGAATTGATGTCAAAACTATCACTAAACAACTATATAATAATGACAGAATTTTTATTTTTGGATGAACTCTCCCTTTAAAATTGAAGGGGGGAAGAGAATAACCTCAGGTGTAAGTCTTGACAGAAGGCCTTGGCTGTTCCATTCACTCTCCCACTCCTGTGAAGCACTAAGTTCAGAGATGTGGTTCTCCAGGAGGGACGCTGGCACTGAGGAATGCTGGGAAGGCTGGGCAGTCACAGGCAGCAAATAATATCTCCAGTATTCTTGCAACTCTGAGAGAATTCACAAAGAAACATCAAAAACATGCTAATGTTAGCTGAATGAATCATAAGAGCTGAATTTGATTGTCGTCAAATTCCTCAAAGGGGTAATCACACTTCAGGGGTAAGTGGCAACAAGGGCAATACCACAATGATTAAGACATATCACACCAAACCTAATGGGGCTTATTGAGTTGAGTAAGTGAAAATGAGTATGCCTTTTGGCTGTTTCCTTGAAGAGACCTTCACTGAATATGGGAGGCTCAGCGGCTCAGTGTGGAAACTGTGACATGGGCCGGAACTCTGAAATTACATTTACACACATTTGTCAGTTAGTTAGAAAGCTTGGAAGAAGTTTTACCTATGTAAGTGAACATGTACCAACACTGAAATATCATGACAAAATTACTGTAAGCATTAGTCATGTCTGTATATTTATATTACATACACTACCACTCGGAAGTTTGAACAATAACTTTTTTTAACAAAAGAAATTGCTACTTTTATTCAACAGGGATACATTAAATTGATCAAAAGTGACAAATAAAGACATGTTTAATGACACAAAATATTTCTACCTTAAATAAATGCTGTTCTTCTGACAATTTTTTATTAATCAAAGAAACCTGAAACAAATGTATCATGGTTCCGACATATATTACGTAGCACAACTTTTTTCAACATTGATAATAATAATAATAATAAATATTTCTTGAGCACCAAATCAGCATATAAATATGATTTCTGAAGGATCGTGTGACACTGGAGACTGAAGTAATGGTTTTTGAAAATTCAGCTTTGCATCACAGGATTAAATTATTTTATAAAATATTTAAGATTAAAAAAAATTATTAGTTTAAATTGAAATAATATTTCCTAATATTACTGTTTTACTGTATTTTTGATCAAATAAATGCAGCCTTGGTGAGCATAAAAACAAGAGTCATAAAAAAAAACATTAAATATATTACTGACTCTAAACTATTTGAATGATAGTGTATCAATTCTTCAACCATATCAATATGATATTTGTAGAGTTGCTAAATGTATTTCAAATGTAGAGTTCTGCATATAAGCCTTAGCCCTGGATTTCAAGATGTAAGCATGATGATGTACCTGTGTTTTACGATGAATGGGGAGTCTACAGGACAGAGGCAGCCAAGGCACTGACAACTGCACTTTAATTTGAGCAGCAATTGCTCTTTGCAACAGCGCAGACTTCCCTAAGAGAGGAGAGATAAAGGCAACAATCAGACTATTTTGAGAAACTAGCCTCATTAATCATATTCATTTAATCCAATAATTCAAGAGTAACATGGGATGCTGCAAAGGCAAGCAAACTATTCTTTAAAAAAAAAAAAAAGTGATAGCGAGTCTGAACCAGACTGCACTGTTTTCCAATGAGTTTATAATGGAGTTAACAAGCTATTAAGTGGGGTTGACTCTGGATTCTTTCTAAGATAATAAAACATTTTAATTCATTTTTAGGCAATCAAGAGTGTTTATTTAATGTAGAAGAATTGAGGGGGAAAAACATCATTTCTATTTTATTGAAGAAAGATGGGAATATCAGCACTCTAAGCTCTTACATTAACACCTTAGTTAATCACATTATCCTTTGATCCCAGCATGAAGAACACACAGCCTAACCACAAAACTTTTTTATTATTACACAGCCAGAAAATCATCTCAGGTGTTGGAGAATTTGTTGGAGACTTTGAGTCACACCAGATTTAATATGAGGTGAATCACTGCAAATCACTATTATGTCATTATCCTCTAGTATTATGACATGGTGTGTAAAGTAACTGATATAACAGAATTGCAAGTATAAACTCTGAGAAAGTAAGTCAGAATTGCGAGATGTTAACTCAAAACTGCAAGACATAAACTCAGAATTGGAAGAAAAATGTCAGAATTGTGAGATAAAAACACACCATTACCTTTTTATTTCATGTCAGAAATGGGCTTCCATATTTACTAGATTGCAATTTTACTATCTGTATTGCAACTGGTAGATCATGCTGTTGAAGTCGCAATAAAAGTAGCAACATATCTTTTCTTGTATTGTGATGTTTATTCAAGTGAAACAAATTATAGAAAAAGAAAAAAATGCAGGGCGGGAACTTGGATCTGAATCTGAACTTCAACTAAATAGATCTGAAACTGAACTTCAGGATGATTTTAAAGGGGTCATATGACGTTGCTAAAAAGAACATTATTTGGTGTAATGAAATGAGTTTATGCGGTTTAAGGTTCAAAAAACACATACACAAACACAAAATTCCACATACTGTACATTATTGTTTCTCCTCTATGCCCCGCCTTTCTGAAACGCGTCGATTTTTACAAAGCTCATCTAGTTTCGCTTTCACAACGAAACACACAGAGTCACACACGGCGGCTTTGAGTGAGCGGCGGCCAGCGGGCTAGAGTTTTTTAAAGTTTTTTTCGCATTTGGCTCCCAAACTCTGGAATAGCCTTCCTGATAATGTTAGGGGTTCAGACACATTCTCTCTGTTTAAATCTAGATTAAAGACACATCTCTTTGGCCAAGCATTCAAATAATGCACCAAGAGCTTGTAACACTCCAATGAGAAAGGAAAAATTTAAATTGCATCATATGACCCCTTTAAGAAATGGGCGGGCTTTAAGTAGACAAAATGATTAGAGAAATCTGGCAAACATCACCAGAGAGAAGTCTGTTGTTTCAGCAGAAGATTGAATTATGAAATTTTGATTAAAAATTACTAGCTAAATTAAAATAATAACAATAATTAATTAATTAAACAAATAGATGGATTCCTAATAAGATGCATTTAGAAAATAAATACAGTGAATTTCCATTTCATGCTGAGTTCAATATCAATATCAAGCATATGCCAAATACATAAATGCAAAAAACAGTAGTCAAAATTACCTGCAGGCTGGTCCAAGGCCTCTGCACTCTCTCTGGGCAGCTTCTCAACCAGAAACATGAACAGAGAGCGAATCTCTGGCTCACTGCTGTAGAGAAATGTCTGGTAGCCAATTTCCCCTTTAAAACCCACATCCTAAACATATAGAACAATGCAAAGATTACAACAGAGTCTGTGGAGTCCAAGTCATTGCTCTACCTTGTTAAAGGGGTCCTATTATGCTCTTTTACAAAGTCTTGATTTTGTTTTGGGGGTGTACTAGAACAGGCTCTCATACTAGGTTGTTCGAAAAACACATTATTTTTCACATATTTTACATTATTACAACACCTCTCTCCCCAGTCTGGCATGAAGAACTTATAAAGAGGTACTAACGGTAACACTTTCCAATAATGTTTCATTTGTTAACATTAGTTAATGCATTAACTAACATGAACTAATAACAAACCGATCGTTTCGTGTCTTAGGACATCAATGTGTCGTCACGAGCCGTAGGGTTTAATTTGGATTTGTCTGTGCATTTTTATTTTACTCCCATAGATTTTGCCATGCATTATAAGACTGATAGACTGCAATGGCTGGAGTTAAAAATCTCCGTTTGTGTTCTACAGAAGAAACAAAGTCACCTACATCTTGGATGCCCTGGGGGTAAGCAGATAAACATCAAATTTTCATTTTTGGGTGAACTATCCCTTTAACCTTTGTTATTGTTATATTGTAACCTTTGTAAAAAAAAATCATGTTAGTTGACAGTGCATTAACTAATGTTAACAAATATTTTTGATTTTAATAATCAAAACATTTTGTTTGATTTTAAAAATCAACACACACACACCGTGAACACTAGGGTTGGGTACCGTTCACATTTGAACAAACCGAGGTTTACTGTTGAAATCAATACATGGAAGAAAAATTGTGTGAATATTTCTTTAAAACATTTTTTAATAGGCTAATAATTGTATTATTTTTTTCTACAATTAAGTGATTAATCTGGTCGTAATATTTATTTTTATCATTTCATTGTTTTATTTACATTTGATAGAAAATTGAATATTTAAAGATGTACATTATACTGTACATAAGTAATACAAGAGTAATGTATTATATATACTTTTACTCTTTTTATATTTTATAATATACTTTTATTTTGACAGGTTGCCATGAAGTGTATACAGTATGATGACGCTAGTTTGTCAAATGAAACGGTAAACTTCTCGTGAAGTGACTCTCACAGCAGCTCTGAAGATTAAGTTGTGTTCATGGCGTCATATAGTGAGACGCAGAGGCCGAAAATCACCGCGAGCGTCACGCGTGCTTCAGTATTTGTGTAGTAAAAAAAAAAACACGTTTCCGCCATTCATACATACAGAGGCAAGCGGAACATGCAGGTAGATGCGTTCTCAGGTACCGAAATTTGGCACAGATTGATTTAACGTGAAGTTTTAAACGTGAGACGTAATTCGGTCGGTACCCTTAAAAGTACCGAGTTCGGTACCCAACCCTGGTGAACACACACCCGGAGCAGTGGGCAGCCATTTTTTTGCTGTGGCACCTGGGGAGCAGTTGGGGGTTCAGTGCCTTGCTCAAGGGTCTCACCTCAGTTGTGGTACTGAGGTTGGAAAAGAGCGCTGTACATTCACTCCCCCCACCGACAATCCCTGCTGGTACTGAGACTTGGGTTACAAGTCTGACTCGCTAACCATTAGGCCATAACGGCACCTAATTACTAATGTATAAGTAATGCTGAGATTAACAATACCTAAGATTAATAAATGCTTTAGAATAGTGGTTCAAAGGATTACAAAATTCACGGTTCAGAACATAACACAGTGTTTGAGTCATGGATCGGATTGTTTTTTGGATCAGCAAGAAAAAAAAATTCAATGTAACTTTGTTTTCCATTTATTACTTAAAAAGCTAAGTAGGCTACTTCGATACCACAGCCAAAAACTACTAGCCTAACTAAGAAAGTTCAAATATGATTAAAGACAAGTTTTTTAAGCCAGTAAAAAATAAGAACAAATACACAAATTACAGATAAATACAACAGAACAAAGTTACAAATAAAATAAGGTTGGTAGTATTCAGGTACAGAAATGTAATAATTAAGAGTAAAATAACACTGCATAGTGTTCACTGTATAAATTTCATAAGATTCATCTTTGTCAAAGCTGCGTTTTGTTGTTTGGTTAGCATTAATGACAGCAGCAGATATTTATAGGCTGCTGTCCCTTTAAGACCTGATGCAAGGATCCAATATAATGATACACATCCGATCTCTTTTTCAGTTGTTTCGTTCACTTAAAGGGGTCATATGATGCGATTTCAAGTTTTCCTTTCTCTTTGGAGTGTTACAAGCTGGTAACTGCATTTACCATAATGATTGTCGAGATGGGTACTTTGTCTAATTTTATGTGTATGTGTCTGTTCAAACACAAGGAGATGCGAAAGAGGATTCAGTTCGGTGTTCGCATTCTGTCTGAAACGCGCCTCTCTGCGTGTGTGCGCTTTGTGTGGTGTGTGTGGCTGTGCACATAGAAAACAGCTTGTGAGTACCGAAACGAGTTATCTTTTGCCTCTTCTTGTGCTGGAATCTTTTAAAATCGCTTGTGTGTGTAAACACATTAGGGCTGTCAAAATGACTGAAAAACTAAATTAGAATTTTCCACTTAAATATTATAATTCGAATTTAAAAGGCATAAATTCAGTTAGGGGGAAAAAAAGCTTTTGGCTTCTCTCCTAAGGCCACAAGAGGGCGCATCGAGCAAAATATTATGCACGTTTCTTCAAAGCGTAATAAAATAACATGACTGTCTTTGAAAAAAGTGCATGTTTAAAATAATGTTTATAAACTATATATAGTTAATAAAGTTGCTTAAACAATTACAAAAAAACCCAGCACCATGCATGTATGTATAGTTTAACACAAAGGACCGAAAACCAATAACAAAGAGTAGGCTACTTTCTTCATTTAAAAACATGAGATACAGTGGGATGGGGGAAAACCGCTTATAAAGTCTTGAGACATGTTTTTTAAATGCTGAACTTACATTAATTTTACATGGCTTTCTAAACATGCCGCTCTCTTGTGCGAGACGCGAGTGCAACGCTGATAGATGCCCCGCTAGAAAATGTGATAAATATGCGTTCTGTGTGAACGGCTTGGTTTCAGTTTCGACGTAAACAACATCTTCGCCACACTGATGCTCTCGTTTTCCACAATATATTGAATGAACAACGTAGCAGCGCCGCATCTAGTGGGTTCAACTGGATAGGCTAACAAAAGCATTAAAATGCAATGACACTTATATTGTCGTCGCATTTCGTGCGCCACTGATGAGGCTGCCTGACGGCTGACGCAGACCTAAAATTTGAACGTTTTTGCATTCGAATGTGGATTTTTTTTATGTTATTTGCCAAATATTCGAAATTCGAAAAAAAAATTTGACAGCCCTAGAACACATACAAATGATAAACTTTCACTCTATTATGGTTCAAATGTGCAATTAATCCACGTATCACATGCGTGCCGAACCGTCGGGCCTGGTCAGTATGGATCACGGTCGGATCAACTACGATCTGTTCAACCCCTACTTTAGAAGTTTTTTCATTGTTAGTTTGTGTTAACCAGTGTAGTAAACTAATGTTTACAAATGGAACCTAATTGTTTCCAGTATTAACTACTTATGAGACAACATTGCAAAAAAGGTTTAATTTAACAATAATAAAAAATATATATAAAAAAAAAATTATTTGTAACATTTAAAGGTCATTTGAATGAAATCACAACAGATTAATTAATTCAAGGAAGATTTACTCAAAGATTCTGCAAAAGTCCAGATGGTGGATCAGCACCTAGAGACGACCTCTACAGCCCTGAATGTCAGCGGAGACCATGTCAACTAGATGAGCCCCAGAGACAGATCCCCTGTGAATACCTCATCGGCCATCGGCACAAGACTACGAGAACCAGACAAGTCCTCTGCACAATCTGACCTGTGTTGCAGCCTGGAATTAAACCACTCCATGCTGGTTTCGTCTGGCCAGAGTGAGACTGAGCCTGGTTTCTCCCAAGGTTTTTTTCTCTATTTCTGTCACTGATGGAGTTTTGGTTCCTCGCCACTGTCGCCTTTGGCTTGCTTAGTTGGGGACACTTAATTTCTGGCAATATTGTCGACTTGATTGCACAGACACTATTTGAAGAGAACTGAACTGGTTGATGACATCACTGAATCATCAATGAACTGACCTTAACTGAAAAATTTACTGTTTGTTATTGTCCTCTTGCATTAATGACAAACTATTTTCCTGTTTGACACTGTAAAGCTGCTTTGACACAATCTGTATTGTACAAAGCGCTATATAAATAAAGGTGACTTGACTTGTCTGCAGTAAGGACCCATTTATCTTTTGTGAAAAATGTTTGTACATAATTTATCTACTAAGTCTGGTTAATTTATTATAAATGTCCGTACTGTAACATCTTTATTCAAACTCAAGATAAAAACAAAAGTGCTTATTCACCAGCAGTAATGCATTTTGAATGGCTATCAGCTGACTCTGTCAGTTGTGAGGGGTCAAGTTAACCCAAGCACACAGTGGGACGTTCAGGCACCGTGTCTCTCACCTGACAGGCCTGTGCCAGGCTCATGCCCAGTCTGAAGCGGGCAGACATGCCAGGGGGGAGTAAGTGGGACAAGCCATTGCCCAGCGCAGGGTCGATCACACGCAGGCATTTCACCACCGCCTCCACGATCAGCTCACTTGTGAACTGCTTCACACTCTGAACATCTTCATCAATGTCTCTGGAAGATGAGGATGTGATCACAACCACACAGACATAGACAATAAATATGTTTGACATGTCCCGAGATGCAAATCACTCCAAAGAGGGAAGAAATTATTTGTCACAACTAAAGAGACCTGTTAGATTTTGAATACTTACGTGCCAGCTTGTCTTAGAGAGTGAATTAAAATCCTGTCGACTTCTTCCATCACGGAAAGAGGTCAGATATAGCTGATCGACTGTCTTCCGTAACAATACTAAACCCCCACCGTGGACAAGGCAAATGAATATCATAAGGCTTCAGCTAACCCTCAGCATAGCCTTCACTTACAGCCTGTGCAGGGCTGCTAACCAGGACGACCGTTCGGTTGCCATGGTTACATTTCACACCGCAGCTTCAAATGAATCGTAAACTGTTTTTTAACACATGCTCCAACAAAACGGCACGTCAAAATTACAAGTTTTTTTTTCACACAGTCTCTTCAAAATCAGCTTTTTCTGGAGAGGAAGTAATTACCTAGGAGTGTCCAACGCAGTGCACCATGGGACATGACGTTTTAGATCCTTAAAGCGCCCTTACTGAACTACTCGTATAAAATTCAAGTTCCCGACATCCACAGCGCGTTCAGATCTCGTGACGAGACCGACGCTTAAGCACGTGCGCTGTCCAAGAGCGAATTGAAATGTTTGAGATGTTTTTGCAGGTTTGAGAGAAAATCAGATTAGATTTAGAACGGTCGTATTATTAACAGATGCTTAAACTAGAAAGAACATGCTATTTATCGTCAATATTAGTGCTGAATTGAGTTAGCGAATTGAATTGAATTGAATTAGTGCTGTGTTGAGCGCTGACTAAATATTTAATGATATATTTAAATCTATCTTCAGAGATCCTTGTACTTTTTTCTTCCTTAAACTAGGAAACTACATGTTTTACATATAGCTGCTACTTGATTCATTTCTGTTTACTATTTAATTTACTGTTTTCACATTGATCAGTAACAATAAATAAACATATAGGCTATATATAACAAGACAATGAAGAAAATTTGACTTTTTTTTTTTTTACAAAAAGTCTATAACAAACCTTTAAAGGTCTTTTGCAGCCTGACAATAGTTTTGTGTGCCCGAGACCAAAATGTGTTTTATTCACTTTAAATCTTGCCCTAGGCCACAGTTTGCATACATCCTGAAATATGATATATGGTGACAAGTCATGTGACATAAAAAAAGGTTAAAAAGTACCCAATCTGGGTTGTTTTTTAGCTCAGCGACTCGGTACATACAGTGGGTACGGAAAGTATTCAGACCCCCTTAAATTTTTCACTCTTTGTTATATTGCAGCCATTTGCTAAAATCATTTAAGTTAATTTTTTTTCCTCATTAATGTACACACAGCACCCCATATTGACAGAAAAACACTTAATAAATCTGCAAAAATGTCAACAATTCTGTGTTTTTCTGTCAATATGGGGTGCTGTGTGTACATTAATGAGGAAAAAAAATTAACTTAAATGATTTTAGCAAATGGCTGCAATATAACAAAGAGTGAAAAATTTAAGGGGGTCTGAATACTTTCCGTACCCACTGTATATAGCACAGAACTCATGTTGGCCTAACTTGATCACAAATTGGGTAGTTTATTTAACCTAGCATGATGGATTGATTTTACCCACTGATTTTTACAATAATATTATATATTTTTATATTATATAAAATATTTTTTACCACATACATGAATTAGCAATTACAGATTAACTTAATCTTTATAAAATACATCACCCAACCACTAGTTAACAGTTCTTAATACAGCATATGCTACCTTTTTAACATATTGCCTACATTTAAACTTGTTTAACAAACATTTAAAAGCAATTCAAGTGCAATCAACCGGTCTCTGCTATCCCGTTTCCACTGTACCGTGTTGGCTCTCTTGCTGGAGCTGGGCTTGTGTTCAGCGGGGGAATCACGAACCTCAGACCGCTGCCCTTTGTTTCACTCGAAGCCGAAAGATGCTGTGACTGACTCCATAACCTGCATTTGACCCAGCCAAAGGGTTACACAAAAACTACCCAACACTGAAAAAAATAATTTCCAAACAGTAACTTTTCACTAACCTAAATTTATTTACCTGTCTTGTTCTGAGTTTTGTATTTTCCAGCTCAAAATATGGAGCTTCTTGTGGATTGCATTACATTCTATCAATATGCTGAATGAGAGAAAAGCAGATGTGAAAGAGTGAAAGAGCCATTGAATGGAATGCTGTTGCCTGAATTAACAGAGTGGCTTCAGTTGTACATGACATCACAAGTAATTTGAGACTGCATGGAGAAGCTCCCTCCCTTTCAGAGTTTTTCCTCCATGTGCTTCCCACCCTTGCCTTACTCCCTTCAATAGAACCACACTGTCCTTTCTCTCTTTCTCTCTTGAGCTCTACTTAAACCTTTTAACAATTGAGATAAAAAGCAACACCTCAACCAAGAAAAGCTCTCAGAGAATGCTTCACCAGCACTGCCTTTGAGAAAACATCAACAGCCATTTAAAAGGGTGAGAGAGTCTGAGTATTTTCTTTTCTGAGTATCTGTTGTATTGCTAGAGCACATGGTCTATAAAATCAAACTACTGTTGACAGGAAAGGCTTAATGGCTTAGGAGAGTTTTGTTAGCATAGTTATAGCTTTCATTATGTTCTGTAACAAGTTTTTTTTGTCATACAATTTGTTCTTTGATTGCAATTAATTGCACTTTCAGGCGGCTTTTTATGACAATTTGGGTTAGTGAGATTTATAGTTTGTTATTCCCCTCAATGACCCTACATTGTGCTGAAGAATATGGCTAAATATGACTTAAGATAATAGCGTGTGAGAGTTGCAAAGGAAAACTGTACATGACGCTATGCGGGTATCATTATATATCCGATCACAGGACTAGAATTAACTCAAGCCATATAAACGGCCAATAGCTGATTTGGACAGACTAGGGGAAATGATTGGAAGTAGAGGGCAGTATATATGTTCTTATGTCTTTTATTATATCTTGAGATGGTTTCTGTTGACTGAGAGCAGTGTGCACCCACCCAAAATATCTACAAAAAAAAAAAAACAAGTCACTCTTTCTTTGTGAGGTTGTTGTTTAGAATAGATTTTATTATTGGAATGTTTCTTTTAAGTTAAACTCCCATGACAATGTAAGAAAATCAACTTGATAGACATGTAGGTTAAATGTAAACTGTCAGCATATATCATTCAATATGTTTACATTCTCTCAGTTCTTCATATGTTCCACAAAGTCTTCTAGTTATTGTTCAGTAAAAGGTGTAATTTAAACTGTTTATAACCAAAGCATTTACTTAAGTCTTCTCAGACTAAATTGGGACTATAAAGAGCTCAAAATAAAAAGAGTACACCCAATGCATTGTGAGAAGTAGGCTAGTATATGTTAAACACATTTATTCAGTAGAAGCTTTTAAAGAGCAACTAGGTCATGTATTTGGGAACAGAGACATCAAATCTCATTGAACTTGGTAACATCAGTTTGGTTATTCACCAGGATATTTGCAATCTTTTCAAAAACTGCTATGAAGTTAAATGGGAGAGCGTAATGAGAAATGGGAGAAACGTAATGCTTTAAAAGCTGGGGGGTGTAAAATTTTTGAAAATGACGATCAGGGCAATTGTACTTATTATAAAACATAAGTATCTTGTAGCTACTGAATGGCAGTACTAAATGAAAAAATATGATATTTAAACAAAATAAGAAAAAAAAAAAATTACACATTATCATCCCATTCAAAAAGTTTACTTGTGACTTTTCAAATGACATTTTCTGACCAGTAAATGCAGAAAACCAACCAATTCCAAAAGTTTCACACTTTTTCTAGCCACTGTATATAGTGTGCGAAAAGCAGTATGTCAGGTGTATAGGTTGTCCGAATATACAGTATTCATGAAACAATAGGTGAATAATACTCGGATGTTCACTTGCTGGGACTTTGAATTTCACAGCCAGTTTACACTTTGTTATCTCAATGAAGCCATGTGAACTGTAACTTTAAGCCACTCTTTTCAAATGCAATTCAAGTGAAACTGCCACTGATAACAAGAATGTTGTTCATCATAGCTAATACTTGTTAACTCCTGAGTGCATTATTTTTGTGGTTACTCTATGTAGTATGCATCGCTCAAAGGACAATGGCAACATTGAAGATGTAATATGATGTTGTTTTTTATAATACACAACTGCATACCAAAAGAACATACTTTATCAATCATTGAGAAGTATATTCCTTGTCAAATTCAGCACATACTCTGAAAGTTTGTGATTTTGGACGCAGTAGGTTTCACTGTGCACTTTCCTTATCTGCCACTGATTGGCCAAACACTTAGTCCCACCTCATGCCATTGGTTGTGCCATTATTGCTATGTTGGGTCGGTCAGAATGCCTAACCAGAGTAATGTATTGATAGCACGTCAGTACACTTTTTTTTTTTTTTTACACTTTTCAGCCTTCAAATGGCTTATTTATAGTCTCTGCATATAAGAAAGTATTTTAACATGTTACCTTTAACTTAAATGTTGCTTAATGCTAAAACTGGATGGCCAGTATTTCTTCTGCTATTTGCTTGGAAAGTAAATTTAACCACAAAGAACAACAGTCTCAGTGTTTAATTTTGTGCGTTTGAGAGCATGACTTCATACAATATCATTTTGCTTACCAATTTTAGCTGTTGGCTTCAGGTGAAGCACTTCCTGTTGTGTTGTAATCTTTGAAGCAAATAAAGATATGTGGAAAAAAACATCACTTTCACAATATTTGCTAGCATACCACTACCACTGTTATCTGAAAAGAAATGTAGAGGAAATCATTATCAGGTGGAAAATGAAAAGGAATGTGTTCAATTTTTTGAAGGGGTGTTCAAGGCACAATGTACACACTGAAGTTGTGACCCACACAACTGATAACCCTCAAGAGGTTTCTGTAGCTTTTTTAAACGGATGTCCTGGACATATTGAATATACATGGCGAGTGCATTGTGTGGTCTACAACAATGACCAGACCTGGTCTTCTATGTTGGCTTCCACTCTTTGAGGCTTTTGGGTTTAAAAGTAATTCTGATGTGGAAAATGCATTCTGTTAGTGCTATTATTTAGAGTTCACTCAAGCCTGCGTTTTGGCACACAGATGTATACGGCCTCTGAGACGAGAGTATCATATTATCTCCTGGGAAATGCTCTGGAAATTCAAGTATGGGCAAGTACGCTACACTCTGTCTGCCATAGAAAGAGCATTTGAGCACTGTAATACACCTCTAGCCAAGGCCTTAAAATGGATAGCAATAGTGCGTTTTGTTGACATATAGGGAGAGAGTCTATAAAGATTGAGAGTGGAATGACAGGAAATGGATGGAGGCAAGTAGAAGAATGCCAGTGAAATGGGTGGAGAGATGGTTGCTCAGCTCTGATGGTGAGTGGGTGAAGATAGTATAGAGGGTGGGATCTGCTAACCT